AGACCAGCCTGGGCTACAAAAGTGAGCTCAAGGCCAGCCTGAACTGCATAGCAAGACCCTGTCTCAAAAAAAAAAAAAAAAAAAAAAAAAATGACCACAGAAAGGAGACATTTTGTGTGGATTCAGGACATTAAGGCTGCCACAACACCACAACTAAAGACACTCAGGAAAGAGGACGTGCAGAACTGCTTCAGAAAGTAGCAAGGTTGATGGGATGAGCATGTTCAAAGTGAACAGGAGGATCTTGAGGGAGATTAATGGCAATGTGTCATTTACTGTAATAAATTTTTTAATCGAAACCTTCGCTGTATTTTCCAACCATCCCTGTGGAAGCTGAGGTGGGGATCCTGTGTCCCTTGTGGGCAAGAGCCACACTTGGCTCACATCAGGGTCCCCAGGCCAGCAGGTCCTAGCCAAGTTCATGCTGGTGAGCTTTTGTGAGCAGATGAGACGTGGACAGGCAGCCCTTTGCCAGGGGACCCATGGTGCCTGTGTCAGGGAGGTGACAGGTATACAGCGCCACCCCCAGCCCGCATCTGCTGTCTCCTCAGGTCAGACTCGTCCTGGGCCAGGAGGAGCTGAGGCTGCAGACCCTGGCAGAGCTCCTGCTGAACGACTCTGCCCCCCACTCCGTGGCACTCACTGTCTCAGATGGCCGGGCTGTGCTCTCGGTCGACGGGCTACTCAATGCCTCTGGCCTGGTCCCAGGAGGCCCCCTCAGTGTCCCCTATGGGCTGTTTGTTGGGGGCTCTGGGAGCCTGAGCCTGCCCTACCTGAGGGGGGCCAGCCGACCTCTGCGGGGCTGTCTTCTCACCGCCACCCTCAACGGCCGCAGCCTCCTCCTCCCGCTGACCCCCGAAGTGCCAGAGGGCTGCGCTGAGGAGTTCTTTGCTGAGGACGACGTGGCTCTGGGCTTCTCTGGGCCCTATTCTTTGGCGGCCTTCCCCGCCTGGAGCACTCAGGACAAGGGCACCCTGGAGTTCACGCTCACCACGAGGAGCCAGCACGCACCCCTGGCCTTCCAGGCGGGGGGCCGACGCGGGGACTTCATCTATGTGGACATCTTCGAGGGACACCTGCGGGCTGTGGTGGAGAAGGGTCAGGGCACTGTCCTGCTCCACAACAGTGTCCCCGTGGACGATGGGCAGCCCCATGAGGTCAGCGTCCACATGGACGCCCACCGCCTAGAGGTCTCCGTGGACCAGTACCCCACACGCACCTCCAACCGCGGGGTCCTCAGCTACCTGGAGCCACGCGGCAGCCTCCTCCTCGGGGGACTGGACACAGAGGCCACCCACCACCTCCAGGAACACCGCCTGGGCTTGGCACCGGGCACTGCCAACACCTCCCTGCTGGGCTGCCTGGAGGACCTGAGCGTCAACGGCCAGCGGCAGGGGCTCCGCCACGCCGTGCTGACCCGCGGCATGGCAGCCGGCTGCAGGCTGGATGAAGACGAGTATGAGGATGACGCCTACAGCTCCTACGAGGCGCTGTCCACCCAGGCACCCGAGGCATGGCCAGCCGTGGAGCTCCCTGAACCGTGCGTCCCTGAACCTGGGCTGCCCCCTGTCTTCACCAACCTCACCCAGCTGCTGACCATCAGCCCACTGGTGGTGGCCGAGGGTGGCACAGCCTGGCTGGAGTGGCAGCATGTGCACCCCACACTGGACCTGCAGGAGGCCGAGCTACGTAAGTCGCAGGTGCTGTTCAGCGTGACCCGGGGTGCACGGCACGGCAAGCTGGAGCTCGACATCCCGGGCGCCCGGGCACGGCAGATGTTCACCCTGCTGGATGTGGTCAACCGCAAGGTCCGCTTTGTCCACGACGGCGCCGAGGACCCCTCCGACCAACTGGTGCTGGAGGTGACCGTGACAGCGCGGGTGCCTGTGCCCTCCTGCCTGCGGCGGGGCCAGATTTACCTGCTGCCTGTTCGGGTCAGCCCCGCCAATGACCCTCCCCGTGTCGTCTTCCCGAATGGCAGCCTCATGGTGATCCTGGAGCACACACAGAAGCCGCTGGGACCTGAGGTCTTCCAGGCCTATGACCCGGACTCTGCCTGTGAAAGCCTCACCTTCCAGCTCCTGGGAGACTTAGCTGGGCTCCCAGTGGAGCACCGGGATCGCCCAGGGGAGCCGGTGCCCGAGTTCTCCTGCCGTGAGCTGGAGGCGGGCGACATCGTCTATGCCCACCGTGGCGGCCCCGCTCAGGCCCTGACATTCCGGGTGAGTGATGGGCTGCAGGCCAGCAGCCCTGCCGTACTGAACGTGGTGGCCATGCGGCCAGCCATCCGGATCCGCCACAGCACGGGGCTGCACCTGGCACAGGGCTCTGCCGCATCCATCTTGCCTGCCAACCTGTCGGTAGAGACCAACGCTGTGGGGCAGGACGTGAGCGTGCTGTTCCGTGCCGTGGGCGCCCTGCAGTTCGGGGAGCTGCAGAAGCAGGGCGCAGGCGGTGCAGAGGGTGCCGAGTGGTGGGCCACGCAGGCCTTCCACCAGCGGGACGTGGAACAGGGCCGTGTGCGGTACCTGAGCACCGACCCACAGCACCATGCCCAGAACACTGTGGAGAACCTAGTGCTGGAGGTGCAGGTGGGCCAGGAGACCCTGAGCAACCTGTCCTTCCCGGTGACCATCCAGAGGGCCACGGTGTGGATGCTGCAGCTGGAGCCGCTGCACACCCAGACCACTCAGCCGGAGACCCTCACCGCGGCCCACCTGCAGGCTGCCGTGGAGGAGGCAGCCAGCCCAAGCTCCAGCAACTTCCACTACGAGGTGGTCCAGGCCCCCAGGAAAGGGAACCTGCAGCTGCGGGGTGTGAGGCTCTCAGCCGGCCAGGGCTTCAGCCAGGATGACCTGAAGGCTGGGCGGGTGACCTACGCGGCCGCAGCACGAGCCTCCGAGGCTGTTGAGGACGCCTTCCACTTCCGTGTCACAGCACCGCCACACTTCTCGCCGCTCTATACCTTCCCTATCCACATCGGTGGTGACCCAGATGCTCCCGTCCTCACCAACGTCCTCCTCCTGGTGCCCGAGGGTGGTGAGGCCGTCCTCTCCGCTGACCACCTCTTCGTCAAGAGCCTCAACAGCACAAGCTACCGCTATGATGTTATGGAGCGGCCCCGCCATGGGCGGCTGGCGTGGCGGGAGCCACAGGACAAGGCTACCACGGTGACAACCTTCACCAATGAAGACCTGCTGCACGGCCGGCTGCTCTACCAGCACGATGACTCTGAGACCACCGAAGATGACATTCCATTTGTGGCCACCCGCCAGGATGAGGGCAGTGGCGACACGGCCTGGGAGGAGGTCCGAGGTGTTTTCCGCGTGGCCATCCAGCCGGTGAACGACCATGCCCCTGTGCAGACCGTGAGCCACGTGTTCCACGTGGCCCGGGGTGGGCGGCGGCTGCTGACCACAGAGGACGTGGCCTTCAGCGACGCAGACTCAGGCTTCTCTGACGCCCAGCTGGTGCTGACCCGCAAGGACCTCCTGTTTGGCAGTATCGTGGCAGTGGATGAGCCCTCGCGGCCCATCTACCGTTTCACCCAGGAGGACCTCAGGAGGCGGCGGGTCCTGTTCGTGCACTCGGGGGCCGACCACGGCTGGATGCAGCTGCAGGTGTCTGACGGGCAGCACCAGGCCACCGCCATGCTCGAGGTGCAGGCCTCAGAGCCCTTCCTCCGCGTGGCCAACGGCTCCAGCCTTGTGGTCCCTCAGGGAGGCCAGGGCACCATCGATGCCACTGTGCTCCCTCTGGACACCAACCTGGATATCCGCAGTGGGGATGACGTCCACTACCGCGTCACAGGCAGCCCTCGCTGGGGGCAGCTGCTCCGCGCCGGCCAGCCAGCCACCACCTTCTCCCAGCAGGACCTGCTGGACGGCACTGTCCTCTACAGCCACAGTGGCAACCTCAGCTCCCGTGACACGCTGGGCCTCTCAGTGGAGGCAGGGCCAGTGCACACAGAAGCCACCCTCCAAGTGACCATTACCCTCGACAGCCCACCCGCCCCGCTGCAGCTGATCCGGCATGAGAAGATCTATGTCTTCCAAGGGGAGGCGGCTAAGATCAGACGAGACCAGCTGGAGGTGAGGAGCGGAGGGAGGGACCGGGCCCCCAGCTCTGGCCGCATACGCTTGTGTATCTGGGGTGTGATGTGGTATGCCTGGGTCTGCACCTGTATGTGTGCTCAGGGATTTGCGCCACGCACATCTGCTTGTGGATGTCAGGCGCACACCCATGTGTGTGCTGCAGGAGCCATGCAGACCCCAGCTCTCTGCTAGACCCCATACCAGGGATATGGGGGGCTGTGAGGGACTTTAACCACCAGCAACCGCATGGAGCAACCAAGCCATCCACAGGCTCCCTGACTGGCTGTGGGACCTTGGACCCCTTCCCGTTATTCTCCCAACCTGCCAGGTTTTTTTTTTTGTTGATGTTGTTTGGTTTGTTTTTTTGAATCTTCTTTTTTTTCTTCTTGGTACCGGGAATCGAACTCAGGACCTTGCACTTGCCAGGCAGGTGCTGTGCTGCTGAGCTATATCACCAGCCCATGTTTTTTTGAATCAGAGTCTCGATATGTAGTCCTGGCTGGCTTCAGATTCACAACAATCCTCAGCCTCTAGAGTGCTAGAATGACAGGCAAGCACCATGGTGCCCAGATTTCACTCTGCCAGGTTCTGCGGCCCTTCCGGTCCCCAGGGTCTGGGCCTCTGAGCAGACCATGACCAACAACACACTTGGTGTCTGGAAGCTCTTACCCTGGAAGGACAGGATTGAGCCAGGCTTTGAAAAACAGGAGTGTCAATGGCAGAGAATAGGGTGGCACCCCAGGGTGGAGTCTGTGCCAGCAGAGGCACAGAGTCTGAACTGTGTGTCCAGTGGCGGTTGGTAGCCTTTTCCCGCGGCTCCACCAACCGTTCCAGGAGGGAGCACACAGCCAGCAGCCTTGGGGCAGGAGCCAGGTCTGAGGTGAGGAGCCTCAGCCACTGAGAAGACCCGGGTGCCCTCTGCTGGTCAAGGTCTAGAATAGCAGTATCTCCAGCCTGAGTCTCCTGGCAGAGGCCCCAGGCTGGGTGGGGACCTCCATGTAGATGTGTGTGTGTGTGTGTGTGTGTGCACGCGCGCACGCGCGCATGATGAGGGGATCTGTGTGTCTGGGTGTTGTGAGTGGGCAGTAGTGCCTGGGGAAGGAGGGGCATGAAAGTTGGGCTGCTCCTGCTACTTGGGGTCACGCCCAGTAGCTGTGGTTCCCTGAGTCCCTGTGGCCCCTGTTAACAGGCAGACCAGGAGGGAGTACCCCCCGCAGACATCATGTTCTCAGTGAGGAGCCCCCCAAGTTCGGGCTACCTGGTGATGATGTCCCACACGGCCGCTGGGCCACCCAGCCTGGCCCCAGTGCACAGCTTCTCCCAGGAGGCCGTGGCCGCCGGCAGGGTCCTCTACCTGCACTCCCGCCCCGGGTCCTGGAGTGACACCTTCACCCTGGACGTGGCCTCGGGCCTGGGTGCCCCCTTGGAGGGGATCCGCATGGAGCTGGAGATGCTGCCGGCCACCATCCCCATGCGGGGGCAGAACTTCAGCGTCCCTGAGGGTGGTGCCCGCACCCTGGCCCCGCCGTTGCTCCAAGTCACCGGGCCCTACTTCCCCACCCTGCCCGGCCTCAACCTGCGGGTGCTGGAGCCACCCCAGCATGGAGCCCTGCAGAGAGAGGAACAGCCCGGAGACGGGACCCTCGACACCTTCTCCTGGAGAGAGGTACCTTCCCATGAGCATGGTGATACCCGCTGTAATCACTGGGGCAGGGGGAGGGGCGGGGCCCGTGTGGGAAGCAGCCACTCTGCCTGTCCACAGAGTCCTCTGCACCCTTCTGGGGGGTGGACTGTTTTCCCCTTTCCACCCACGGAAACGGAGGTTCAGAAGGAGTCAGCTCCCCTCAAGCCGGAGCAGGGCGCATGGGTGCTGGGCTGAGCGTCCCCCACTGCCTGCAGGTGGAGGAGCAGCAGATCCGATACGTGCACGATGGGAGCGAGACGCTGACCGACAGCTTCGTCCTGGCGGCCAATGCCTCGGAGATGGACCGCCAGAGCCAGCCGCTGACTATCACTGTCACCATCCTGCCCATTAATGACCAAGCCCCTGTCCTCACCACAAACACGGGCATGCAGGTGACAGCACCCCGGGCACACCTATGGCAGCGCCTAAGTAGAAGCTAAGTAGAGTCCACCACTCCTGTCTTCTCTGGGCCTCAGTTTCCTGCCCTGCAAAATGGGGTTGCTGCCACATGCCTCCCGAGGTGATTGGAAGGAGAGGTGTGGAAACAGAGGTTCGAGGGTTTTTTTATTGAGTGCAGTGGGCAGCCTTGTGAATGACCACACGCAGCCCCGCTGTTCCCCAGGCTCGCCTGTGGCAGGCAGCTTTTCCTATGGCTCAGGACCAACATGCCTGGCAAAATCTCTTACAGTCTCTGACAGTGGGCTTCTGGCGGGGACCAGGGGAGTCCCCACCTCCACCACCCGCAGTGACAGCCTCCACTGTGCTCCCCACCTTCTCCCTTTATTCACTGTAGCACAGGGGCACCCCATTCTGCAGAGGTGGATATTGGGGCCCAGACAGGATAGAACCCCATGGTCTACAAAAGTAGACCTCGGTGGAACAGAAGTGGGTGCGGCTTAACCAAGCTTGCGCGCACTATAGTGTGAGAAGTTCCCGCCGAGGGCGGAGGGCGCAATTCAGGCTAAACGCGGCCTGGGACCACAGCCAGGCTGCTGTGTGGACATATGGCCACCAGGTGGCGCCATCCACCCGTGCTTGCTTCCCCAGCCTGTTAAAACCTCTTCCCGGCCGTGGGAGGGAGGAGCCAGAGGGTCCCGGGGCTGTTTCCTGGGTGACGGCCCCTAAGGGACTGCGCCAGCAGGCCACGCAGCACTGCCCGGGGACAGCATGCTGCCGCTGCGGGTGGGAGGCCTGCGGGTCCCCCTTACCGGCATAGTGGGCAGCCGTCGGCCTCGGCTCCCCGAGCCTCTGCCCTCCCCGCTCTGGAAAGAGACGGGGCTCTGTCTTGAGCAAGCCACAGCCGCCACCCGCTTCCTGGTCCCAAGAAGACCCCTCCCGGCCCATGAGACAGAGCCAGGCTGAAGAGCACTGCTGGCCAAGCTGGGGTCTCGGGGGTGAGAACTAGGTGGGGTAAGAGCAAGGCCTTTCCAGCCACACGTGCTGGCACACGCCGATAATCCCAGCACTCAGGAGGCTGAGGCAGGAAGATCACCACAAGTTTGATATCAGCCTGAGCTACATACTGAGATCCTGTCTTAAAAGACAAACAAAACAAAATGAGCAAGGTTCCTCCCAGTGAGGGAACACAGATGGGGGAGGGACAGGCAGGGCTAGTGCAGAGGAGGGAGCCTGAGGCCCTGGGGTGACAGTGGGGGCCCAGGGTAGCACAGGCCTGGGAGGAAGGGGGGAGGGAGGTGGGATCCTCACGGGCTGTCTCCTCAGCTGTGGGAGGGGGCCACGGTGCCCATCCCTGCCGAGGCCCTGCGGGGCACAGACGGCGACTCGGGACCCGAGGACCTGGTCTATACCATCGGGCAGCCCAGCAACGGACAGGTGGTCCTGCGGGTGGCGCCGGGCACCGAAGTCCGCCACTTCAGCCAGGCCCAGCTGGACGCCGGACTGGTGCTGTTCAGGCACGGAGGTGGGTGCAGCCGTCTCAGCATTCTGGGGAGTGGGCTCCATGCCAGGCAGCAGGACCCACCCACCCCTCGCTATCCCCAGGAGCCCTGGACGGAGGCTTCCGCTTTGACCTCTCCGACGGCAAGCACGTGTCCTCGGGCCACTTCTTCCGAGTGGCGGCCCAGAAGCAGGTGCAGCTGTCACTGGAGGGCACCCGCACGCTGACTGTCTGTCCAGGTGAGCCTGGCCACTGGGCGGAGCTGAGGGCACCCGCAGGGGTCACGCTGTCCCCCAGGGGCCGCAGGCCTTGGTCATAGTTCATAGCCCCTATCTGTCTGTCTGTCTGTCTCTCTCTCTCTCTCAGAGTCCATCCAGCCGCTCAGCAGCCACAGCCTGAGTGCCAGCTCCAGCTCAGGTACCGACCCCCAACACCTGCTGTACCGTGTGCTGCGTGGGCCCCGGCTCGGCCGGCTGCTCCATGCCCAGCAGGGCAGTGCCTCCGAGGCCCTGGTCAACTTCACTCAGGCCGAGGTAAGGGCCGACCCTGCAGCCACCTTGCAGATGTCACCAGCCCCGGGTGGCTGCAGTTCACCTTTGCTGGGCTCACCCAGTGTGCCGTGCTCCTAGAGGGCCAGGTAGCAGGCAGGCGGGGGCCCAGCAGTCCGCACAGAGATGGGGCAGGACCCCAGGCTGCCAGCCAGAGCTAGGATCAGTCCTGGAGCTTGACATCCAGAAGGAAGCCACAGCTGGGTTCTGGAGGTGAAAAGGGACCCATGGGGGAAGCAGTGCACCCCAGGAGCAAGTAGGGGGCAGTGCTTCCTTCAGGGAAGGAGCCCGAGAGGAAGAGGAGGGAGCCTAGAGCTCCAGTCAGTGCCCGCCAGGAGCAGCAGAGGTGGCCTAGTGGGGAAGCCACGGTCTGTCTGTCTGTCCATCCATCCATCCATCCGTCCATCCATTACTGGGACAGCTGCAGGCACTGTTTGCCCAGCTCAGGCAGGGAGGGTGGCTCCTCCCCAACTCTGACCCGCACCCAACGCTGCATGAGAAGGGCTGGGTCCCCGTTAGTCTGCATGAGGAAAGGCCTGGGGGGCACAGAGCTGACCCCACCTCTCAGGAGGTGCTGCACCTGTCCCAGCACTGCAGAGAGGCCCACCTGGCCCCTAGAAATGGCAGAGTCTCCCCAGGTGACTCCCACTTCCCCAGCTCCTGGAGACCTGAGCCCAGCCCACTCCACAAAGCCCCAACACCAGCCAGCAGCTGGGACAGGGAAGGAGGTGGCTTTGCCTAGGGCCTGTCCCCTCAGGACCATTGGCCCACTGCCTGTCCTCCTGCTGTGGCCCCTCCCTGCCCGCGGCCCGAAACAAGGTGTTTAGCTGCAGCAGCTGCGTCCCCTGCGTCACCAGAGCCTTATCATCAGATGCCAAGGAAGGGGAGAGGACAGGACCAGCCATGAGCACCCCTCTCCAGCCCTTGGTCCCCCGAAACAGAGCTTCCCTGCACCCCAGCAATGACGAGAAAGACCAGACTAAACGGCCACCAGGGGGCCTGGCTGGCAGTGCCACCAGGGAGGCTGGGGAGAAGCTACGTGGCAGACACCCTCCTCCACTCGCCAGCACCAGGCAGGACTGTCCTTCCGACCTCAGAGCTGGGAGGAGGATCGGTGTCCCCACTGTGCAGATAAGGAACATGAGGCTCACAGAGGTCAGTGGCTTTATCCAGAGCAAACCAAAAAGGCACCGCCTGCCTGCTGGGCAGAGAGTCTGCCCCCTGAGGCCCGCCTGTCCCCACAGCCAGGGCCCCCGCTAGCCTTGTGCGGGTCTCCCTGTCTCCCTCCCCTCCGGGCCCCTCCAGGCTCCGTGGCTGCTGCCCATCAACCTGAGCCCCAGGCCACCGCCATGTCCTTGCAGCCACATCGGGCCCACAGATGGGTTTTATTTGGCCGCACATTGCCTTTCAGATTTTTTGTCAATATAGCGCTCTCAGGAGATTTGACAGAAACTCAGTTCTGGTCTTACGAGGCACGTGGCCTCCGGAGGAGCAGCTGCCCCCTCGAAGGACTGCTCCCGTGGGGACCGCTCACTCCTGCCTGGCGCAGGCCTGGGGAACCACGCACTGCGAGCCACTTCCCATCTCCCTATTGCGCAAGCCCTGTTTTTCAGAGAGGAGGAAAATTGTTTCGTGTGGCTCCCACAGGGGGAAAACAAATGATAAGCCAAAGGGACATAGCAGCCCCAAAGGGGAGGGGACAGACACCCCATGGAAGGGAATAATGTGCCTTGGTATGTGCCAGGCGAGCGGCCCAAAAGCAGCAGTCCCCGACCTTGTTGGCACCAGGGACAGTTTCCCAGTTCAGTGAGTGGCAGGGTTTCTGTGGATGGGCATGGGGTGCTGATGGCTGCAGGGTGGTTCTGAGGCGTTCAGAACCCAGATCCCTAACTCCACCACTGATGTGACTGAGGAGAGCTCAGGCGGGGATGGGAGCCCCCGCTGCTCACGCTGCTCACCTGGTCCCCTACAGGACCAGGTGTGTCTGGCGTGGAGTCGCTGTGCAAAGGAGAGTTGAGATCGAGCCGCAAAATGGAGAAGAGTTCACCTAACAAGCCGGGCTTCGTGGTGGCATATGCTTGTAGTCCCTGCTACTCAGGAGGCTGAGGCAGGAGGATGGCTTGAGTCCAGGAGTTCATGGCCAGCCTGGGTAACATAGGGAGACCTCAGCTTAGCAGGAAAAACAGTGAGCTCCCCTTGCATTGTAAAAGGCTCCTCTGGATCTTACGTTGAGGGTGAAGCTGGGGCACAGTTGGGAATCTCTTGCTACAATCCAGGCAGAGGCAGTGCTCAGGGAGGCAGAGAGGAGCTGGGGTATTGCCCAAGCCACTGAGCAGGAGCCCCAGGCCAGTGGGGTTTGCAACACCAGCGGACTCCACAGGAACAGAACTGCCGCAGAGGATGAGGGTAGGAATCTGAGTCTGGAGTGGAGGGTCAAAGTGAGAGGTCTAGACAGAGTCAGGTGCTGAGGGCTTGTGGCCCAGGGACCATGCCATGGGACCAGGGAGAAGAGCCGGGCAGTAGCGGGGAAAGAGGAGGGAACCCCAGGGAGCGAAAAGGGTGCCCAACGTGTCACAGACCCAGCTCTGGATCATACTCACGGCCCTTTCGTGCCCTGGGGCAGAACAGGCCTGGCGACATTAAAGTGAGCTGGGGCCAGGAGGATGAAAGGGTAGGCGGTTCTTTCAGAGGAATTCTGCTGTAAGAAACGCAATAGGGGGAGGGGTGCAGATGCTGGTGGAAAAAGTAAATCCCAGAGCAGGGTTTTCTTTCAGATGGAAGAAAGAATAGTGCAATTGCATAAGGAAGAGAACAATCCATTTGGGGAAACTGATACCCTAGGGGAAGAAAGAAGGGCGTAGGCCTGGTGTCCTCAGGCGGCAGGAGGGGAGGGGCCGGTGCCTGGGAGAAAGGCTCACATCCCCAGAGGCCAGGGATTGGAGAAGTTCGCCTGCTGGCAGAGCTGGGGTGGAACCCAGGCACCTGGCTTTGCCGAACAATGGCCTCGTGTGAACTCCTGAGCTAGTGAGGCAGAAGGTGGGATACACAGTCCTAGGTACTGGTGCCAGCTCCTGGGCACCACAGGCTGGGCTGTTGTCACCCCTGACCATGGTGTCTCTCCAGGTGTCTGCTGGGAATGTGCTGTATGAACACGAGCCGTCCCCCAAGCCCTTCTGGGAAGCCCACGATGCCATAGAGCTCTTGCTGTCTTCGCCCCCTGCCCCTGACGTGGCCACAGTGCTGGCTGTGGTCGTGTCATTCGAGGCTGCCTGTCCCCAGCGCCCCAGCCGCCTCTGGAGAAACAAAGGTTAACAATGCGAGAAGCTGCAGGGTTGGGAGGAGGGACACAGGGTGAGGCCCCCAGAGAAAGGAGACAGTCAGCCCTCAGGATCTGGGAAGCTACAGGGAGCTGGGTGGGAGACTTTGAGATCAGGCTGCACACACTCCTTGTCCTCCCCGGCACCCCGAGCTACATCCTGAGCACTTGGCCCACTAGGAGGCATGACCCTACCCTGGGGGGCCCCAGACCTCACAGCTTTTCCCTCAGCAGCTGGATCTTCATAGCCCGCGTCTCACCCCCAGGTCTGTGGGTCTCAGAGGGCCAGCGGGCCAAGATAACCGTGGCCGCCCTGGATGCCTCCAACCTCCTGGCCAGCGTCCCCGAACCACAGCGTCCCGAGCACGACGTGCTGTTCCAGGTGACGCAGTTTCCAACGCGGGGCCAGCTGCTGGTGTCTGAGGAGCCCCTCCACGCAGGGAAGCCACACTTCTTGCAGAGCCAGCTGGCTGAAGGGGAGCTGGTGTACGCCCACGGCGGCGGGGGCACCCAGCAGGACGGCTTCCGCTTCCGCGCCCACCTCCAGGGCCCAGCGGGGGCCTTCGTGGTGGGACCCCAAACCGTGGAGGCCTTCGCCATCACCGTGCGGGATGTGAACGAGCGCCCGCCTCAGCCGCAGGCCTCAGTGCCACTCCGGCTCACCCGGGGCTCCCGCGCCCCAGTCTCCCGAGCCCAGCTGAGCGTGGTGGACCCAGACTCAGCCCCCGGGGAGATCCAGTACGAGGTACAGCGAGCTCCCCACAATGGCTTCCTGAGCCTGGTGGGGGTCAGCCCGGGGCCCGTGACCCGCTTCACACAGGCCGACGTGGATGCGGGGCGGCTGACCTTCGTGGCCAATGGTAGCAGTGTGACAGGCATCTTCCAGCTGAGCGTGTCTGACGGGGCCAGCCCACCCTTGCCTGTGTCCCTGGCCGTGGACATCTTGCCGTCTGCCATCGAGGTGCAGCTGCAGGCCCCCCTGGAGGTGCCCCAGGCCTTGGGGCGTGCCTCGCTGAGCCGGCAGCAGCTCCGGGTGGTCTCGGACCGGGAAGAACCAGACGCGGCCTACCGCCTCACACAGGGGCCCCAGTATGGGCAGCTCCTGGTGAACGGGCAGCCCACCTCGGCCTTTAGCCAGCTGCAGGTGGACCAGGGGGAGGTGGTTTTCACTTTCACCAACTTCTCCTCCCCTCATGACCACTTCCGAGTCCTGGCACTGGCCAGGGGTGCCAATGCATCTGCCACGGTAAATATCACTGTGAAGGCCCTGCTGCATGTGGGGCCAGGTGGCCCGTGGCCCCAGGGCACTACCTTGCGCCTGGATTCTACGGTGCTGGATGCCAGTGAGCTAGCCAACCACACAGGCAGCATGCCCCACTTCCGGCTCCTGGTGGGACCCCGGCATGGCCGGCTGGTGCGCGTTCCCCGGGTACAGACAGAGCCGAGGAATAGGCAGCTCGTGGACCAGTTCACGCAGCAGGACCTGGAGGCCGGGAGGCTAGGGCTAGAGGTAGGCAGGCCAGAGGGTCAGGCTCCCAGGCCCACAGGGGACAGCCTCACTCTGGAGCTGTGGGCACCGGGTGTCCCGCCCGCCGTGGCCTCACTGGACTTTGCCACAGAACCTTACGATGCAGCTCAGCCCTACAGTGTGGTACTGCTCAGTGTCCCTGAGGCCGCTCGGACAAAAGCAGGGAAGCCAGACAGCAGCACCCCTACGAGTGGGCCGGCCCCAGCAACATCCAGCCCAGTGCCCACCGTGGCCAGGGGTGGCTTCCTGGGCTTCCTAGAGGCCAACATGTTCAGCGTCATCGTCCCCGTGTGCCTGATCCTGCTGCTTCTGGCGCTCATCCTGCCGCTGCTCTTCTACCTCCGCAAGCGCAACAAGACAGGCAAGCACGATGTCCAAGTCTTGGCCGCCAAGCCCCGCAATGGCCTGGCTGGTGACACAGAGACCTTCCGCAAGGTGGAGCCAGGCCAGGCCATCCCACTCACTGCCGTGCCTGGCCAGGGGTCCCCACCAGGAAGCCAGCCTGACCCCGAGCTGCTGCAGTTTTGCCGGACACCCAACCCTGCCCTCAGGAACGGCCAGTACTGGGTGTGAGCCGGGTGGGTCGTGCTGGGTGGTAGGCCCTGCTCCCATGCCCTGGCGTTGCGAGTTTCCCCAGAGTGAGACATGGAGAGCCAGGTAGTGGATGCCAGGAGCAGCCCCAGGGTACCAGACAGATGGAGTCAAGAGCTGGAACCTCCCAGTTCACAGAACCTGGAGAACCGAGGCACCAAGGCAAGAGATGGCTGGGTCAGGCCCGTGTCCTGGAGCTGGTCTGACTTTCAAAGCCAGGGCAGTCACCTAGGTGGGTCAGGACTCTGGCTGGTCCTGGGTCTGTGTCCTTGGATAAGTCATGCCTGACCCAGGCTGCCAGGAGGGAAAGGAGGAGAGAGCCTTGGAGAGGGGCCGGGTGGAGGGGATGATCTGATGCTGGCTTTCCCACACACCCCAGGCCTCCACCGTCTCTGCCCAGGGCTGGGGCAGCCTCTTCCACCTCTGGGATTTTAGGGACATGGTTTTCCGGGGCAGGGGCAAGGACAGGAGGGGAGCTCCTCCTCTCCAAAAGGCATCCACCAATAGAATAATATATTCGGGGTGCAGGGTGGGTGGGTGCTCAGAAGTGGTTTATTTAAGGGGATTGCAAGGAAGCTATTTAACATGGTGCTGGGCCTATGGGGCCTGGTGGCACACACACCCTGCCGGGTTGGGATGGGGGCAAAGTCTGGAGCCCTTCCATTCCCAGGGCCACTGTGATGGGCCAAGGACTGAGCAAGCCTAGAGCGGACTGGGCTGACATGTGAGGGTCTTGAGGCACAGTGCCTGCGTACCCCTGAGGACTGGGGGCGGCCAGGTGGGGGCCTTGGTCCTTACAGCCTGGATAAACAGTGCTTGGGCGGCTCTTGACAGCTGTGTGTGCTTTGTCTGACTCTGAGACTCGGGCCCTGGCAGCCTCATTCTCTGGGGCTGGCACCCAGCCCCGCCCAGCGGGTGGGATGAGGAGGGCTGGGAAGCCCTGTGTGTCCACCTCTGGGGCCATCTGGGGCTCCTCCGCCCAACCTGTGGGTAGGTGGGCCAGTGCTTGAGACAAGACCCAAGCCCCTGACTGAGGTAGAGATGCAGGAGGTCTTTCCTCCATGAGGAAAGAAGAAATCCTCTCAGCCCTGGCTTTCTCAGCCTGAGTCTCCTCTACCCGCTTCTTGTGTGGTTGGATCAGCAAGGCAAGGGCAGCGGAGCCTCCAGGGCTGGGACATAGTGCAGTGAGCGGATGTGGGGGCTGCTCTCCCAGCCCCAGAAAGAAAAAGGCAGAGGAAGCAAAAAGAACCCAGAAAAGTCAGAGGTTGCCAGACCCAGCCAGACAGCCTGTCCTTTGGCTAGAGATGGAACCCAAGACACTGGGGACCCAGTGACCTCTTCTTGCACCAGGCATCTGTAACATTCGAGGTGGAAGTGGGGGCCAGAGGTAAGACTCCATCCTGCCCCTGGGCCACCCTCCCAATGTGCCTGCCACATCTCCGCGTCCAGCCCCTGGTTCTCCACTCCCAGGAGCTTGGGCAGGAAACCTGGAACCAGGTATATCGTGATGGAAACGGGCCCAAAAGACCAGGAGGAGTCAGAACCAGAGAGGGTCAGGGATTGGCTAGCCACACAGCAAGGTAGCAGTAGGGTAGACCAGACCCTAACCCCCGTGAGGCTCTTCTTGCCGCCCCAAAAAGCACTGCCCTCCAAGGAGGGTGGTTGGGCACCCAGAGAACCCTCTGTACTGAGCTCACAGGACAAACCTGTCTCCCTGGCACCCCAGGGTTAAGCAGACCCTGCTGAGGTTGTCTCCACATCACACCCCATGCCTGCCTTGCCCTGCAGGAGCTCAGAGCTGAGACTTCAGGGCCTTGCTATCTGGGGCCAGGCTCTACCCTGTGAGGCCAGTCTCCCTGGAAGTGTAAGCCAAGCTGGGGGTGACAGACCCGCCAGGCAGGATCTGGCCTGGCTCGGATTTCCTTGGAGCGCTGACGACACCCACTCTTCACAGCCAGCAGCCCTGCCCCCAGGGAGCTGGCACAGGCTGACACAGATCTGCTCCTCCAGGCCTGGGGTGGACAGTGGGCTGGCACCCAGGCTTCATGCCAGGGTCAGAGGAAGGGTCTTTCCCTGACACACAGGAGCTGGGAACCCAGCATGGCATGGGGCCTGGTTTAGGTAAAGCCTTGGCCTATTCATTACATCCCCAAAGCTTAAGAAGGCTGCCCTCCATGCTGTGAAACGACACTACCCCCTTCTTGGAAGGAACTGGAGACAGGAGCAATGCCAGGCACACAGGTTCAGGACCCTCTGGGAGGGTCTTTGCTTGTGCTTCATACACACACAAACCATGGCGTGCACTTTTGCAGATTGGTGTGCATGGGAACATAGGTTCACACAATCTCCAGTCTTCAACCGTGGTGTGGCACAGCCCAGTACCACCCATGCAGTACGTTCACACACGGAACACAGGCACCCACCAACTTCAGAAGTTCGTACATCTTGCCTGTGCCCTCCTACAGAGCTAAGGGGGCCAGGACGATGCCCTGCCCATTAGGGGACCCACACTGACATCAGTAGAGCTGGAAAGTGAATGGTGAACCCATAGGTTCAGGGATTGCTTGCTAGAGGGGCACAGATCCCTAGATTCCTACTGTCCACACTAAGCGTTTAACCTCTTAGTTGCTCACAGGAGCTCCCTTCGAGCCCTTCTACAAAGTGGCCCTTTAATTGGGGTTGCCATGGCAGCTGTGGGGACCCCCCACAACACCCTACCTCCCCTGACCAATGGGAAATCCTAGGGCTACCAGTATCTTCCTCTGGTCCTAGAAGGCTGCTAGTTTTAAAGGAGTGGGGCTCCTGGGAACGCCAAAGTGCTCTGGTGGGGTCTTCTGGTCCTGGTCACACAGGAAGGAGCCCTGGCAAATGGAAGAGCCAAGAGAGCAACCAGACCCGATGGACTACTACCCCATCCTACTGAGGTCTTCTTAGATTACCATTGTGCACTTACCACTAAGGTTACTCAATACTGGAAGGGCATTTTCTGCCAACCATGCTGTAAGAGATGCAGACAGGACCCATCCAGCCCTTCCTAAAGAGCCGCAGACACTCCAAGGAGTCACTGCCAAGCCCTGATGTGCACCTTCACCCAGCAGCATGAGCTGGCCAGCGAGAGAAAGCCACCTCTGTTAGACAAAAACAGTGGCCACACAGCATCTGGGGATGCTTAGCAGCTCCTGGTTATGCTGCATCCTTGGTATAAGGAATTACAGTATTTAATTGATGGCTTCTGTCCTCATTAAGGGTGTCACTGCCTGTGGCCATCAGGATAATTAGTGGGTTGTGCTGTTTTCCTTCACATTGTAGATGCCACAAGGGCCCCTACAGAGACAGGAGCAACCCCTAGCTAATCTGCACAGTGGCTCAGAAGGGACTTTTCTACTTAAAAAAAAAAAAAAGGAGCACCCCTTTCCCCCAACCTGAGAACTGCTGGCTCTGTTATCCCAGAACCCAAAGCTAAACCCCAGATGCCCTCCTGACTACTTCTGGGTCCTGAAGGTTCAGGCGAGGTGGCTTGTCTAAGTCTTTGAGGCCCAAACAAAAAAAAAATAAATAAATCTTTGAGGCCCAGAGTGGGGGGTGGTCATGGGCCAGCAGCACCAGCATTGCTTGAGAGCCCACTGAGAATGAAAGATTGGGCTGGGCCGAGGCTCCGTGGTAGAGTGCCTGCCCCTGTTCCAACCGCAGCACCACCAAAAAGGAAAGAAAGACAAGGGCTCTGCCCCAGATGTTGAGTCAGGCTGCCCAGGTGGTTAGAAGACACACTGCACAGAGGAGTTTCAGGTACCAACTAAAGCCTAGCCCAGCCTCTAAGATGTTGATCTGAGACAGAAGACAGGGATGGAGCTGGGGATTTAGCTCAGCGGCACAGCACCTTCCTGGCAAGTGCAAGGTCATAAGTTTGATTCCCAGTACCGAAAAAAAAAAAAGACAGGGCCAAGGTCACGTAGTGAGTTAGTGGCTAAGCTGGACAGTCAGACCTTGTGACCCCATCTCAGGGTTCTGTCTTCCACACCGTGCCCCCACACAAACATACCCTGCTCCATGCCCAGCCAGTGCTGACCAGCTGGGTGGGGCCTTGGTGCCAGGAGCCAAAAGATTGCCCACACCACCGCTGCGGACAGCCATGCAAAGACAGAACAAGGAGGGGCTCTCAGGCCTGCATAGGGCTCAGCTGGGACATGCCCGGCCTACAGTGAGTCATCGGGTCCTGGGGGTGTGGGAGATGACATCAGGGGTGAGGCGTGCACTCGACCATCAGCTGCAGTACAACACACACGTGCACACCCACGTGCATCCACAGGGCTGCCGCATGCAGATTCTCACTGACAGCAGCAGGCATGTGCAAACAACCTACGCATGCATCGTCCCCAGGGTTGCAGATATCCAGAGTCACCTGCAGTGAGCCTGTGATGGACATGATACCAGCTCCCCTGAGGCAGCGTCCTTGGGGGAGACAGGCCAGAAATGGACACAGTTAAAATAATAACCTTTGCACAGAAGGATCTGCAGATGATGAGATGTGTGGAATTCACCGGAAGGCAAGGGAGGCAAGGCCAAAATGTACATAATATGCTGGCCAAAGCACATCTGTAATCCCAGGGCTCTGGGAGGCTGAGGCAAGAGTCTGAGCCTGGGAGGCTGAAGCAGGAAGATGGAAAGTTCAAGTCCAGGCTGGCCAACTAAGTGATTTAGTAACAGCCTGTCTCACAAATTAAAAAGAAAAAGCATATAGCTTAGTGTACAAGCTGTGGAATTGCAGTAGAGCAAACTAATTGATTTATTAAAATACTGGCCCAATACTGACCACCGCTGAGCCTGAGGGATGGGCACTTGGGACCCACTGTATGAGTTTATGGTTTTGCACATCTGAAGTTTTCCCTGAGTGAGATACACACATGTATATAATAAGCAGTTGGCATTAAGTGAAATAAGAAAGGCAGCATAAAGGGAAAGAGGACCAGGAGAAATCCTTGGATGGGATCGTCAGGGAAGGCTTCTCGGTGGTGACATTTAAGCAACAACCTAAATTCACCGAGGTCCCAACTGCACACTGCTTGAGTGGGACAACATTCCGGACGGGACAGCAAACACCCAGGGGCTGAGATGCCAGCAGACCTAGAGGGAGGACAGCACGAGATGGGTGAGACTCAGGACCCAAGAGCAAAGGGGAGAGGTGACCAGGTGGGATCAGGGATGTCCCTATGGGTGTGAGCAGATGGAGGAGCCCGGAATTGAGCCTGTGGGAGAAACTGGGCTGGATTAGCACTGCGTGTAGAAGGTCACTCTGGCTCCTCTCCGCCAAGCAGACCCCCACTGTCATCACACCTCTGCCTGCCCCACCAGAGCCTGGACCTCCCCTCCAGCCCAGCCTTTCCCTGCTCCCTCACTGCACCATGTTGGCCCCGAAGAAAGGAAGCTCCTGGTGACACTTAGCGGCCAGCTCCCGGCCCAAGGCCACTGCCCAGCCTCCCTGCTGCCTGCCCACAGCAGGCCTCACTGTCACCCGGAGACCAGGCAGGAAATCATCACTGCATGATATTTGCTCAGTGCTCTCCATGGGCCACATCCTCCGCCCTGGCACCTGCTGACGTGAAGGCACAGCCAACTTCCCCCAGTATCTGCCACTTACTCCCTAACTCTTCTGTGGACTGGTGCCCAGCCTAGGCCCTTGCCTGGCCCAGAAGCCTCTGAAAGGCTGCCAGGAGCATGGAAAAGGCTCAGCTCCGAGACAGGCAGACCTCAGTCCGGGCCTGCACAGGGGAGATGCCCAAGCTCCCGAGAGTGATTCAGAGCCCTGGGCCAGTCTGTGGAGAACGTTGGCGCGAGAGGCTGCAACTCCCAGACTGCCAAGGGCAATGACAGAGCTCAGAGTGGGTGCAGAGCCCCAGGCTGGCACTGAGGAAGACAAAAACACCCGCTGCTGCAGCCTTGGGCCTGCCCCTCCTGGCTGGCCTGCGAGGCTTTGCACACACACTGGGGACAGGACAGCAGTAAAGAGTAAATGTGAAGCCCTGAGTGATCATGACGACCATCACTGGGGTGCTGGGGACATAGACTGAGCACTGGCCTGGCCAAGGCCACCCAATGAGGACATTCAGGAGGGCTTGAGGTGCGCCTGGACTCTGTGTGTATGTGTGTGTGTGTGTGAGAGAGAGAGAGACAGAGAGACAGAGAGAGACAGCCGTGGCACTGTGGTCCCTCCTGCCTGGACTGAGGAACTCTATGAAATCTAGGAGACTCCCAGAAGGCTTCACCCCATAGGGACAGTGTGGCAATCCAGGCAGGACCCAAGCTCTGGGGGCACACAGCTTGGTCTTATTTTGGCACCGACCACCTATGGCCTACACAGCTTGCTCAGTCTGCCATCCTGCTATGGGGTGGGGTGCTAGGATTCCAGGTCCCGCCTCTCTATCCCCTCTGCCAGGGGCTGGCATCCTGGCTACTCCTTGCTGAGGGCCGGCAGCACAGCGCTGCCAGCTGACGTGTTCTGTCTGGATGGAACCCTCCCCGTGGCCTGGAACTCTGCTATAAATGGGAAATGGAAGCTCCGTGCAGTTAATGTCCCTGGATTGACAGGGAAAGCTCACTGGGTGGGACTTGGGTATGGTCCTGACACCCTGCTGTCCTATCTCTGGGGGTGGAGGGAGAGGGGCCAAGGGGACAGCAGGGCCATGGGGTAAGTGTCATATGCCTACCCCAGAGCCCTACCTATGGCAGCAAGGGGCTTCAGCCTCTCAGGAAGAGGCCCCGCGAGCCTGAGCATCCCAGCCAGCCTCTGACCCCTGTTCCAGGCCATTTACCCCTTAGCACAGATGGTCTGAGCCTGGGAACCATCTCATCCCCCGCCTTTGCTGCTCGGGCACCTCCCTTGCTGGGCCCTCCCTCCTGGCCTGTAAAATGATGCTGATAATCTCTTGCGCATAGGGTGACTAGGAAATAATGGGCACCCCGTGTCCCTCGTGTCCATCATGGGAAATACTGGAAGAGAGGAGAAACCCTAAAGTGGCTGGGAGACCCACAGCATTGGGACTTCTGCCCGCTTCCCAGGTAGACTCCAAGGAAGCAGCCAGGTTCCTGTGACTCGGGCTACCCGGGGCATCTAAGCAGCCCCAAAGCCTCCTGCAAACTTGGCTGTGAGGAAGGAGCTATGGAACGAGGACCACAAGCCACAGAGTACAGAGGCCACGGAAGGGATCCTTATCAGACTTTGGTGGAGGGGCCACAGAGAAGCCCTGCACACCAAAGAGGAGAGAAAGCTGAACCCCAGGATGGGCAATGAGAGAAGGCAGGGGAGGCAGGCGAGAGCAAGGATCCAAGGGACCAATGCTGCTCAGGACTACAGTGCCAGGGACCCAGGGCCAGGGGCCCACTCCGCAGGAAGCAACCTAGACCAATGTGTGCAGCTAGGGGCAGGTGCTGCACAGCAGGGCACCAAAAGAAAAGAAAAAGGAAGAAAGAAAGAATAAAGCTGGGTGTGGCCGCACACACCTGGAATTCCAGCACACAGGAAAACTGCCACAAGTTCAAGGCCAGCCTGGGCTACATACTGAGACACTGTCTCAAAAACAAAAAGCACCAACCAAATGAAAACACAAATACAAAAAAAGAAACAAAAACCAGGCTAGGAGTGTAGTTCCGTAGAGGAATATTTGCCCTGGGTTTGATCCCGAGCACTTGGGGAAAAAAAAAAAAAAAAGGCAACACCAAAAATGATAAATTTTAATTAAATATTTACATGACAAGATCTTTTCAAGTAGTAAACCAAACTCTTTAATGTAGTGTACAGTTAAATTTGAATATGTGGGCTTCCGTGTATAAACCTCTGCCAGTGTGGTGGTGCACACTTGTAAATCCAGCACTCTGGAGGCTGAAGCAAGAGGACGGAGAGTTCGAGGGCAGTCTGGGCTACCCGTGAGTTCAAGGCTGGCCTGGACTCCCTACTGTCTTAAGCGAATCAGTGAACAAAAGTGCTGGGGTCCTGCCCAACATCTTCAAACGTGCTATCCCCAGAGCTCATACAGAAGCCTGGTAAGGGCAGGGCTCCTGCATCATACCAAGGACTTGCTATGTAGTGAATGGAAAGAAATCCAGGGAGGACTGGGAAAATGAACTTAGGCTCCTCACGAATATTGTTTTGCAAACGGAGCCAGACTCACTGTGGATATCACGTGCTGTGCTGCCTTCAGACTTTGTCCCCGAGAGACTGCCAGGACTTGCCCCACCCTCAGGCATCTCAAGCCCCCTCTGCTTTCAGCAGCTGGCTCACCAGCCTGCCATTCTTTCCTCTCTAAAGCAGAGACCTGCCATCCCCTCTTCCCTTAGACCTAAGTGACTTCATCAGTTTAAATTCTGGAATGAAGCCAGAGAGCTGGGTTCCAGTGTAGCCCCTGCCAGCCTTGCTGTGGGATCGTAGGCAGGTCCCATCCTCCCTGGCCAAGCCTCTGTCTCTCTTGTCTGTGAAATGGAATTGAGATGTCACCTAGACTGGCACGCAAACCAAGGAAGCCACAGATATGCGAGGAACTGCTTTTTAAACAAACTGGACTGTGCTGGAGTTGGCTACTGAAACCAAACCAAAAGAAAAAGAGTTGTGCTCACTGCGGCGGGGCTGGGTTTCCCAATCAGCCCCTCAGAGCTCCAAGCCGCACTGGGGGAGGTGAATTTCCACTTGTCCCAGATCTTCCTGCCATTGCTATCTCCTGGCTAGCACAGAGGCACTGGGTCGCCTGGTGGGGAGCAGGTTAGGGTAAGTGGGGGTGTATAGACTTAGCTCCCAGAGGCCTGACTCAGCCAGCAGTAGGGCAGGCCTAGTCCTCACAGGCTTGGGAGGACATGACACAGGAATGTCCCTCCCGCCCGTCTTGGGCCCGCCCACCATGTCCTGTTCCTGCCCTGCAGACACACTGCAGCTCAGCTGGGGCTAGAGAGATGGTGACGCCTGGAGCTCTGTGAGGTGGGCGCAGCCAGTGGCTTCAGAGCAGCCTGGCCCTGGGGATGGGCCCAGGGCAGGCAGGGCCAGACCACAGAGCCCACACCGAGCTGGATCTGGCCCTAGAGTCTCCCCCACCTTCTAGGGAGGTGGTGCCCTCCCTCCCAGATCACTAGGCCTCAGGGCTGCTATCTGTGACTTGGTGTGGTCCATTCACCCAGCACCAGGCCTCTCAAGGCGTGTGCTCCAGGGCTGTTGTGGCTTACGGTCCTCCACTTCGGGACACTTGCCCCCTGTGGGCTGCTTGTCCCTCAGAGTCCTGTGGAATCTCTGATGGACTAGAGACCTGGGAGATGGCACAGGCGCAGCCTAACAGTAGCCATGCTTATGTGATACCTGCACTGTGTATATACGTGACTGGTGTATGGCTGAGTGCATGGCAAAGTGGCTGAGCCAGACGTTATGAGTGACAGTAGCGCATGTGTGGTTGTGGCTATGCCTGTGTGGTAGTGTGGCTGGGTGTGACTACGAGCACGAGTGTGCATGTGCGCATGGCCAGCTTTGGCCAGTGGGCAAGCAGCAGGACTGTGTGTGATTCTGTGGCTTTGGACTATGTCTCTGCATGGATGTGTGGATGACCATGTGGCTCTGTCACAGTGCTGCCAGGACCATCCCAGCCTCCCAGGCCTGGGTCTGCTCCAGCCGGTGCTGCAGCCATGGCTCGAGACTCCCAGCTCTCCTGTGTCCAGGGCAGTGGGACACAGGACCCAGAGTCTACTTCATCCTCAGCCCACAGGAGGCCACATAGTAGGCTCTGTTTTCCAGGCCAGACCAGGGCTGGGGATCAGCAGTCCTCCATCCCCACACTGGTACTGATGGCCACCAAGGACAGAAAAAGAGGCCTTGTCTTCTACCCCACCCAGAGCAAAGCAAAGGAGGAAACTGCAGGCAGCTGGACCCAGCTCATCCTGGAACATCTGCTGGCATGTAACTGAGGCCAGCAAGCCCCGCCACTATCAGTGTCCCCTCCTCTGCCACTGATCCCCCAGTCTCCTGCTGAGAGGTGTTCTGGCCAGCCTAGAACAATCCCAGATTCTCCAATACCCCAACCCACACAGATAAAAAGAAGCCAAAGAGAGGGGCCATGATGCCCCACTCCTCACCCCACACACCTTTCCCCACCCAGGGACCTCAGGATTCCTGGCCCATCCCTTCCTGCTTTTTCTCAAAAGTCCAAGCACTTCCCAAGTGCTGACCCTCAGGACAGCAGGCACAGGAGGTGGCCCCTCTCAGCGTGAGAGGGTGACAGCTCCCCAGAGCAGATGGCATTAACAAGGGACCTCAGAAAAGAGACCCTGTCCCTGCCACACTCAGAGCCCCTCTGCAGAGGATGCAGGGATTCACAGCTGAGCAGAGTTAGGGCAGACATTAAGTCCTCTGATGGGCCAAACAATGAAGGAGGGAGGCTAGGGGAGGGGAAAATTCCTCAGAAAGTCCCAGATCTGACCTAATATTGACCCAGGGCCAGAGGACTCATTCCAGAAGTTCCTGCGAGGACGCTCTGCCCTCAACAGCAGGGCCTGTGCCCATCTCTTGTCATGAGCTGGCCTGGCAAGGCCTCCCTGGCAGCCCTGACACCACGAGGCTCCTATCCAATCCCCTGGCCACCGGAAGACAACTGTGTCAACCTTGTTCAACTCTGCAGTGGCGGAGGCACAACTCCAATCACCGCGCACCCGCAAGGACCCAGCTGGGGGGCCTCCAGCTTCCAGCAAGGAGCCACCACAGAGCAAGGAACCCAGGGATGAAGGGGGAGGGACATGGTTTCTGGGTGTCCCCACCCCTCCCTGGACTGGGGCTTTCCAAGGACAAGGCCTGGACGTGGCTCCAGTGGGATGGAAAGCACCTGGGAGTATCCTGGGCGTAGCCTCCAACTCCTCCCTCCCACAACCCTCAGGGCACGGGGAACAGCACAGCCAAACCCCACATGGATCGACCCCCATCCTACAGCCCTTACAGCCAGGGACAGCAAGGTCTGACCCGCGGTGCAGCCCACCCAGAGTCTGGACCACCTCTAGCTGCTCCAGCAGCTCCTTATCCCCGACCTGTTGAGGGTCTATGGTCAAAACCACCCACCATGATTGTCAAATCTCATCCAGTGGCTTCCAGGGGCAATTCAGGGTCCAGCCTTCCCCGTCCTCAGCCCTCCCAGGATCCACACAGAAAGAGTTGTGCTCTTGTCATCTTAATAGTAGAAGGTTTATGGGGGAAAAAAGGGAGAGAAAATTCAAGCAGCAGCAGCTACAAGCAGACCAAGACCTCCTCGAGGCAGAGGTGAAAAGGTCACTGTCCCCCTAGCTGCTGCTCAGCCATGTCCTGGCCTGGAGGAGGCGGTGGCAGCCCCCAGAGGATGTAAACATAGGCTGGAGACAGCAGAGGTGACCAGGAGCTTCAAAGGGCTGGGAACTGGAATCCCTGGCTCTCCCCTGGGTTCCCACAGTGCGACAGGAAGGATTCCGGAAGACGACACCTCCCCAGCCAAGGCCCCTGGGAGCTGGAGTCTGGGCTGGCTTGGAGCAAGGCACTTACCACTGGGGAACTCAAATGTCCCATAACTTGAGGATGTCCCCTCCAGGAAAGCGCCACCAGAGCCTATGGTCCGTGGCTTGTCCTGCACCCTGAGCCCAGGGGAAAGGGTGCTGCCTGGCCCCCAAGCAAGGGAATGTGGGGGCATAGCAGGACAGGGGAAGCAGAGGCCCGCAGGAAGGAGTTGGCCTGCAGCCCCTCCTGCAGGGGATGGGGTGGGGCAGGGAGAGCCAGGACAGGGAGCGAAGACCATCCCTTCCCTCTGCCACCATGCCAGAGACCCCCTGGAGGGGACACTGAATGTGCTTGGGAAAGGTAAGGGAGAGAAGACCCCCACATAAATCCTCTCCCCAAAAGTCCTTCCCATTTACTGCCTGGCAGGTCCTCGTCACTCATCTCATCCAGACATTCTGCGGCAACGTTGCCTACTCTGGCCACAGGTTGCGTGGGCCCATCTGGGAGCTTCCAGGAACCCCTTACTCAGCCACCATCACACCGCATTGCCCTTGCCTGATGCTGTGTCTGACCCCTGCCTTGGATCGGTGCTCCCCTGGGACAGGCACCAGCCTGGGTACACAGCAACTGGCCCAGGACCACAATGACACTGATGAACAGGGGTGGTGAGGGCGGCCTGGCCCTGCCTTGCTCTGTCTCTGAAGCAGGTTGGCCGGGACAGCTCCAAAGCCCCTTCTCCCACCGCCTCACCCTCCCAAGCCCCGCCCCGCTGTGACCAGGCCAAGGCAGGGGCTGGGCAGTCAGAGGTGGTCATACATGCGCAGGGCCTTCTCCAACTGCTGGGCCACGCGCTGGTAAAAGAGGATCTGCTGGCGCAGGTAGCTCTGCATCATGTGCTGGAAGTCGAGCTCGCGGCGTTGGTGGAAGTGGTTCATCTCGGCCTGTAGGGCGAAGCCCACCACGCGGCAGCGCCTGCGGATGCCGTCCGCCTCATCCTGCACCATCCGGCCCTCGTCACTCATGCGCTGGCTCTCTTTCACCTTGGCGAAGGCGCCTTGTGGGCAAGGATAGGCAGGTGAGGGGAGGGGACTCAGCTGTCACACCCTGCCTGCCCCTGCAGCCCCCCAATGGTGAATAACATTGCTCAAGGCAATGTTATCCTCTCTCCTGAGCTCAGACTGTGGCCTGACCTCCTGGCCGTGTCCACCAGGGCACCCTCTACTGCTGCAGCCTCCCCTATACTATCTTCCCTCCATACTTGGGCACCACCAGTGGCCTGCACTGAGCAGTCTCACCCGTGCTAGATGTGGCTACTGGGCCTGGGCAGTTCCCGAACTGCCAGTGCAGATCTCACCCTCACACCACCTCCCAAAGCCACCTGGCCTCATTTTCTCTACGAAGCCTTCCTAGTTCCCCCACAGTCTCTGGAGGCTCTTGGGAGGAGCCCTGGGCTCCCTTTCAACCTGTGCCTTCTCTGCCCACCTGTCCTGGGCTGTGAGATTGATGTGCTCCTATCCTGTCCTCCTGGAGAGAAGCCTGGCCCACAACAGATCCTGTAGGTGGCCCCCACCCCCCATCGGCTGTGATCACTCCCCATGGTCTCCCCAGAGACTGTCCCAAAGTGCCCCAATATACCCCCCAAGCTAGGCGCCCTCCTGCCTCCTACCACTTTCAGACCAAGGTCCACATCCACCCCTCTGGCCCCCTCTGACCCTGCGGTCATCAAACGCTCTCAGCTCTTTCCTGCCTGCAAACTTCTGCCTGCTGGATGCGCATTCATAATTCAAGGCCTGGATCAGGTGCTGCTTCCACACCAGAGCCTTCCCAGGCCCCCAGGGAAAATGCCACCTGGTCTCATCTGTTCCCTGGTCCCCCACCTGCCTGTCACTCTGCTGATTCTAAAGCAGCACTTCAAAGGCCACCTGGTGTGCCTCCCACATCCAGCAGCCTCAGAAGACCAGAGGAGGCTGCTGTCATATCCAAGTGACAGGTGGGCATGAGTGGGGAATCCACCTGGGCAGGGAACCCAACCTGGAAGAATCGGAGGAATAATGAGCAACTGGTGAATGGATTCAGCTCTGGATTAGAAAACACTAAACTGCCAGGCGTGGTGGCACACACCTGTAATCTCAGCACTTGGGAGGCTGAAGCAGGAGGATTGTTGTGAGTTCAAGACCAGCCTGGGCTACAAAGTGAGCTCAAGGCCAGCCTGAACTGCACAGCAAGACCCTGTCTCAAAAAGACAAAAAGAAAAAAAAAAAAAAAAAAGAAGACATTTGACTGATTCCATCTTGAAGCCAGTGGGAAAAGGAGGCCTCTGGCCTCTCACTGGCATTCACCCTCGAGTAACAAGAGAGCATTGACTGTGCAAAGATGACAGAGGAGATGGGCAGGGTATGGAAGGCGGCACCTGCCCTGAGCTCTTGAGAACCCACTGCACATAGATAGTACAACCAGGACCCATGCTTTGTCACTCCTCCGTCAAGGAGGGAGGTTGGGGTCTTCAGGGTGACATTCCCTCCTTCATTGTCACTCATGTTGTCAGATGTACCCAAAATGCATTTATTGAGCACTTACTACATGCCAGGCAATGGCTCTTCATTCATGCTGGACATAACTGGAAACCTTTAGGAAGTGCAGCACTTGTCTCCGTTGGCAACTGCATGGCTAACTGCTTGCTCACCAGGAGCAACTGAAGCAGACTCCACTCCAGAGTCTCTGGGCAGCCCCAGCAACACACAAATAAATGTGCAGTGCTCAGCTCCCAGCCCTACAAGCTCTCTGTTCCCCTCCTCAAGAGCCCTACTCCTGCTCCATCCTGACAGTGTGGCCCTGGGCAGCAGAGCCATGATCACCCCAAGGCTTAGGGTGGGTGCAGTAAGACAATTCAGAGCTAGAGACACCCCAGAGAGCACTGCTTCCTGTCCCCAACTACCAGGGGAAACAGGTTTTGAGGGGCAGGGACTTGTCTCTGGACTCCCAACTTCCTTCCTACCCCCTGAGTCAGAGATGCCTGACCTTCTGCAGTAGCCCAGCAGCCCTCTGCTGTAGGAGCCCAGCATGGACACAGGGATTCAAGAAGGTCCCAGGGGCCAGGAGGTGCTTAAGAAGAAAGTACAGGAGCCAAGCGTGATAGGGAACACCTACAATCTTTGGCCTCTGGAGGCCAAAGCAGGAGGATCGCAAGTTTAAATCCAGCCCAGGAAACTTAGCAAGACTCTTAAAATAAAAAATTAGGGCTGG